TCAAGTGCGTATCGTGTTACGAGTTATCCGATCTTTCTCCCCGAGAAATCAAACTCCTCCGATTAGCGCGATCGTGATCATTTGATTCGTCTTATCGAGCGACTTGTGGGAAAAAGGTACGAGAGGAGAGAGAGAGAAAGAGAGAGAGAGAGAGCGAGTTTAATCGCTTCGTTCGAAACGTCACTTGTTTAGCCCGCATAATTTTAGAAAATTGTAGGTTGCGGTATTGCGCCAATTTGCGGACAAATTTGAGTATACCGCGATTTTGTCGTATCGAGCGTACTTTGTGTTAATCCGATTCAAACTCGTGATAAATTTCGAGTAAACGTCTCACTAGAGCGTACGCTCCCCTGTTCGGATCGATCCTATCTTGGAAAAAGGCCGAAGGAGGTGGTCGCCTTAAAATACATTTGGGACGTAATCGCGATTGCCGCACTCTCGCGAGGCGTTTGTTCGCGCGAGAGCGCGCGAGATGACGGGGGGGAAGTTTTCTGCAAATGTTACGAGAAGACTCCGCGCGTTGCGCGGTGCGGGAATGCCCACAGCTGTTCCTATAAATAACAACCCCCGATTTGATGCAACCACGCGAGTGCTCGCGGCGGCAATTCTGCATCTTCTCTTGCGAAAGCGCGGCAACTATGGTTATTGACCCCCGTGCAACGTGCGCGCGGCCCGGCACTATTTCCGTTCGTGAAATAATGGGCCCGAGCATCGTAACGTGTGATTTAAACGCGCGCAGGATAGACGAGGATTCCCTCGTGTTGGTCGACGCGTAATCCTATCGGCGCGGCAGATTGCTCGGCGGAAATTATTGAATATTATTTGTGTGAATAATCGGAGAATATGCTGAGCTTCGTGTTAATCTTTGTAATAGGCTGCTCCACATTTCTTGTTTACGGTTAATCGTAAAAGGGGAAAAAGACCGAGTGTCATTTCGATAGATTTTTGAAACAACTGCACGCCGACACAGTCGGCAAAAGATCGGTGATAAACTTTTGATATTCGAACGACAAAATATAAAATGCAATTTTGTGTTTTAACGTCGCGTGTAGTAAATGAAAATTACGCGAATGGCGGAATAAGAGCAACGTGCGCTCGCATTAAAACGATGTATTACGATTGAAGATTTGATTATTGCACATGGCACGGGTAATTACGTTCTGCCTGACGCACGGCTTTATTCGCGGCGAGCAAAATGCAATAAAATATATTATACAATGTGAGGCGAGGGATTTATCCGCGGATTACATTATCCATCACGGTCGAAAGATTAAATCTCCATAAATTATTCGTTGTACCAACGATATTCATTAACGGCGCGGTTCAAATAGCCGCGAAGTGTTACAACAGTAATGTGCGGTAAGCGTTACCGCACGCGTATCCATTTCGAAATATATCCTAATTTTATTTTCATTAATGAAATTACGTTTTGTTGTGACGATTTCTCTAAGGACTTTTCAATCGGAATTATCAAACCGCAGCGCGGTTAAATTACGAGGGAAGTAAATTCTCTTCCGCTCGCTGCCAATGGATTACAGTACTGCTCCACTTGTTAGAATCCAATATCAGAGATTTATCGTTTCAGGCAGATTGATCGATCGCGCGACAGTAATTTTCTACACACATATATATATATTGCAATAGCGTATGCCGTAATAATGTTTTTATTGGTAGGAGATCGCTTGAAACCACTCCGCGCCTTACCGAGGCTTCACCGGGGATTGAGTGCCAGGCTCTTGTGGATTTTCTACTTGATTTACAGAGCGCCGAGGCGTACGCTGGCGAGAGAGGAGGAGAGGAAGAGAGAAGGAGAAAGAGAGAAAGAGAGAGCGATCGATGATGTCACGCACTTGCGGTTGATAGCCGCAATCTCTCTGCGAGGTGCGCCGGCACGATCGACATCCGAGATTCGGGCTTCGTCGCGGCCGGGTCCGCGCTGCATCGCGTTTTATAGCGCGTTTTACTGCGTGTGCTGTGGCTGACCATTGGTCCCTCTCTCTGTCTGTCTCTCTTTCTCTCTCTCTCCACACGTTGCCGATCCTCCTCGCTCCTCTGGTCTCCTCTCTTTTCTCTGTAAAGGAGGCACGACCAGCGGAGCAGGGTCATGGCCGGACATCGTCTGCCATACTCTCCCTCTCTTTCTCTCTCTCTCTCTCTCTCTCTC